AAGTCAAGTAAGAAGAAAGTTTAGAACTGCATGTAGAATGGGAGGAAAATAGATGAAATGATATCTTTTACAAAGAAATGCCTTTTTCCAGAGCAACTTTCATCAGTTTGATGGGAATTGCTGATGGAAGTTAGTTGTTGCTTTAGAATTACATATGTGTGTGTGTGTGTATATATATATATATATATATATATATATATATATATATATATATATATATATATATGTATATATGTATATATATATATGTACACAAAACATTCATCATTTATATAGAGATTGATTTTAAAATGTATGCTTCAACTCGTTTATATTTATATGGGCTAAATCAAATCCCAGGTTTCCACAACGTCCATAGAAACACACACATGCTTCTATTTTGAGGTGTGTGTGGTGAGGGTAGGAGAGAGAAAGGAGCAGTTCTCTTTTCTTTCCAGATCCTTCTGGTGGTCTGTGAGTTTGTTTTTCCCATAGCGGATAATTCAATATTCTCCTTTGGACGAGCAATCAGACCAAAGCCACATCTTGGATCTCAAAAGTGAATAGAAGTTTCCTCTTTCCTGAGTCACTCAGTTGTGCCCTGAGCAGGGCTGTGCCCCTTAGGCAAGGATCCCTTCCCCTCTGAGCTCCTTGTGCCCAGTTTTTGCTCCCAATCGGTTCTAAGACCAGTGGTCTCAGTGGCAAGTGAGCTGGGACATTTGACTTCCTGTGCTTAGAATCCTTGAAATTCTCATTTGCCTCCTCACACCCTGTTGCCTTCACACCAAGACTGTTTTATTGTTTTATAGCCACCCTTAGAGGTTCAGTTCTCAGAGATTTCTTTGGGGTTATTTAGCCACTTCTCACTTTACCAACCCAGAGTCTTTCTGGTTTCAGCAGTTTGGTCGATTACTCAGGCTCCACTTTCAGATCTAAGCAAATCATAGAAATCCCCACGCTTTTGACGACCTTCCTGTCTTACTAAATCCATCCTGAACTATTGTTCAGCAAATGTGTTCGTTCAAACCCATTCTCTCCCCACCTCCTCTATTCCTAATCCCCACTCTCTGTGTATCCTCAAATCAAAAGCTACATAACTTCCAGGGAGGAAACTAAGGAAGCATGCGGTGTGTCTTATCTTTCCTCTTTATTTCTTTTAAAATTATAGAGCTAGAACAGATTTAAATAAAGGAGTTGATGATACTCACAGCGAATGCAGCGAAAGAACCGTAAAAAAATGCCCACAGTCCTTTTCCCAAATAGCAAATTTGGAGCACTATCTCTCAACTTAAACAGCCTTCTCTGAAAAGGTGCTGTTTGAAAAGACCCGGGTATTGATATGAATATGGCCTCCCATGCATCCTGAATATTTGGAACTATTTAAATTTGATAGAACAGTTGCAGTGAACCTTTATTTAGTGAATAAAAGTTTAAAGCAGAAGGTTATTTATGGTTCCGCAGAGATAGGTCCTGAGTGGCTATTTAGAAGCACGTGATTCCAATAAACTTTGTTTTATGGCTTGAGAGTTGACAAGCCAAAATATAATTCCCACCATAAATTAGTTTAAGAGCATACAAGTGCAGATGCTTTGGTTCCTGGAAGCAGTAATAGGGAAAGTGTTAGCAAGGAACATTCGGCTTGATCCTGAACGAGATATTTCTGCTCTCAGGTTCCCCTATCTACTGGGAAAGAACAGTAAGTCCGTGATTACCTATGATACAGCTAAAGACTTAGTCGAATTTCTCTGCTGTTTGTTAATCCTGAGGGTGGAGGGGAGGAGTTGGGAAGAAACACAAATCAAGTTGATTCAAAATCAGCCTAACTAGTAATGACCAAATAGAGGAAGAATCAGCCTTTTCTCCCTTTCTCCAAACACTTACACAAAGATAGTTTGTCAATACCCCTTCATCAGAATTGACTAGGAAGGAGGGAGTTTACTGTCTCTTTTCTTAGTATAACAGTACATCTAATTGAGTTAGGAAAGCGATTATAACACCTTGGGAGGGGAAAGAAAAGGGGGAAACAGTAAATTGGGGAGGGGTGGAAGTCTTGAGATTTCTCGGCGCTTAGAAGATGTGGGCTATCGTGTGGAATGAAACTTAAAAATGTGTTGACATTTTCTGTGCAGAAAATTGCTCTGGGTCTTACTGTGATAAGAATTCTCAAGCAAGCAATGCTGTCAACTGATACAGATGTATGTCTGTATAGGCATTATGGCATAAGCATAAATACATCAGTTTGCAGCAATGCAATTTACCTTTATACCCACTGATTACACCTCCTCCCACCATGAATTGGTTTCTCATTTGAATTGATCTTTATCATTGAATTCAAGTAGAATTGGGCACTCGATCCCAAGTCATTTACAGATCCTGCCTGAAAATAGAGAGGCAAAGGTCTGCAGGCAATGAGAGGAGTTGTAAAGTTTCATCAAATGTAAATTTTAAAGTAACCTGAATGCATTAATTGGAAAGTAAAACAGCTTCTAGGCTCAGAGTAGGGTGGAAATCTCCCAGGAAGGGATAGATTGTGGAATCTACTTTCTCAGGAACGAACGTGGAGCCACCGACGAATCCGACTGAAACACAGAAGGCAACACACAAAGGCCCTATCGCTTCCCACTACTCCAGTGGGGAAACCTTGTTCCAAGCAGTTTGAGCCAGTGCAGGAAAACCAGAGAGGGGGTCCAGCAGCCCAAGAGGATTCAGACTTTGGTGCACACAAGTGTATCCAAATTGGGACTGCAGGTTCTGGTTTGGAAGGAAACTTTCAGGTGCTCTATAGCTGCCGAAGCCTCAGGGTTGGGAGACGTTCTTTTATCTAGGCGGGACACCTGGCAGGCCTTTGCTATTTTATTCTGCAATATTGAAAAAGAACCTTGCTCTTTCATGGAATTTAACAATGACCCACGTTTTTATTGCAACAGGTTCGACACAATGGAAAGACGTCTCCTGTAAGTACCCCTTTTATTTTTACCTCCTTCCCAAAGTTTGAATTGCTTGAACTGTGAACTGTTAAATGCTTTTGGAAGAGAAATACAGCCGGGAGAGGGAATGAAGTTTGCCTCTCCTACGCTGAGGTTACTTGGGTCTCTGGAGTCGTGAAGCATGAGCCGATTTGAACCTGCTGTTACTGGACTCTTTAGCAATCACCTGTGATATGGAAACTTGCAGCTGAGTTTTCTACGAAGCAGTTACCACCCGGCACAGGTGCTAGGTGGCATCTTAAAACTCCTTTTAAGTGCTTGAAACTAATTAGCAGTGTTACCTTGTTAATTGGCTGGAGCTACGCAGCGCCTCCCTATGCGAACATTGTAATCACCGAATTAAATCATAGACTTCCAGAACCCGACCACTCCTCCTTCAACCTCACGCCCAACTGCCTTTTTTTTTCCCCCTAAAAGAGTTCCCTACTGCTCTCTTGTCGGGCTGTCCTGATTTAGAAACAAATCTGTAGAAGGAGAAATATATTCACGGGCTTCGCGTGAACATGGCTTATAGACACTTTTGGGATCCAAGGGGGCAGGGTGGCTATTACTATCAGGTATGGTGTCAGACTGGCCCTCCAGTTTCCATAGAGCAATTGAAGATACTCCCAATGCTTTAAGAAAAATGAATGGGCCAGCTAGAACAGCCCAATAGAATGTAAGGAAAGAGTGGGGGCAACCACTGCTGGGGCTTGAGTGCTGTAATTTTGGTCTTCCCGGGGAAGCATATGAGAGCACCAGAATTTGAGGCCTTCGATTAGGTCTCCTTTAGAAAATCTTCATTTAGATAATGATCAAGGATCTTTTTTAAGAAAGGGAAAAAGAATGCAGCCTTGGTAATCTAGGATTTCACTGTAAAATTGTGCTAATTTTTTTCTACGAGGAAAATGAAGTCTGAAGAAGATAAGTTCTCCAGGAATGACCATCTTTCTAATTAAACATCATCTATCCTTAATCATGTGGAGCAAAAAAATTATATATATATATATGTATGTATACAAAAACACATTGTATGTCCATAGAGATATATAATATATACACACGTTTTCCCAACCCACAGAAAGAGGCAGCCTTCCTGATAATCAGGTTGTTTTCAATCACCACGCCAGGCTTATCCTTGCGCTGCAGATTCTGCTCTGTGATTTCCCCCCTCCTCTTCTGCAAGATGTCCTTGATGAAGTTAAATGGCTGTCTTTGCTCTGGGATTTAACATTCTCTTTCATAGGTAACCTTTTTCCTTGTGCTGAACTGCAGATATGCTCTTGGCATATGAGGCTTGGGCTCCCCTTATATTTCTGAATCACTTTTTGCCTCTCCCAAACCTACATTTAGCATACCGATTATGAACACGAGCACAAAAAGCCTGATAGATCAAAAGCGTTTGTGTGGGCATTTGAACAGGAGGTGACTATTTAACGCTTTTGTTCATCAATAACTCTCTGGCTTTGACCTGTCTGAGCAAGTCGTGCAGTAAGGTGAAATGCAGGTCACAGCGTCTCACAAATATGAAAATGTACCGGATTTCTCCCATTTCGAAGCCCATTGGGTCCATCTCTCTCGATTTTTCTGGATGAGATCAAGAACCCTTGTTGTCCAGTAAAGGAGTCAAACGTGGACATTTTGTTTTATTTCGTATATTGGGGAAGGGGGGAGGTTGCCTAAGAGAGATCAGACTGGCTCAATAAGGAGGGGGGAGCCCTCTTCTGAAGCATTGGGCACAAGGATCATTACCACCAAATCCTTAAAGCTGCAAAGCAAAGAGATTCATTCTAAGGTCAAATACTTAGTTGAGAAAAAATGATATCATAGGGTGGGACTGGATGGAGAACGGATTTCATCTAAGCAGGGACCAATGCAGTAGTGCCAGGAGCTGCCTCCCTCTCCCAACCCTTACTCCCTATTCCCACCCAAGGGCCGAGTCTCTATATATTTCAAAAATAAAAGAAGAAGAAGAAAGAAAGAAAGAAAGAAAGAAAGAAAGAAAGAAAGAAAGAAAGAAAGAAAGAAAGAAAGAAAGAAAGAAAGAAAGAAAGAAAGAAAGAAAGAAAGAAAGAAAAAGAAATCTCAAAATTATGACCCTGTATAGAAAAAAATCCAACCAGGATGGCCCATTTTTCTTGCTCTGAAATCCATCCTTATGAGTGTACTTGTTTCCCTGTTTGAAAACCCGACCCGAGCTGAGGGGTTGAGCCCCGGACAGCACTGAGGAGTTGGGGCAGGCGCAATTCATGAACTTTTGTACTCTTGTGTGCTGCTGTCGCCAAAGCAAAAATAATGAAACTTTGTGATATGTTTGTAAATGATTTCCAATGACCTCTAGCCCTGCCCTTCACCATAAACGCTACCCACTAAACCTAAGGACATTTGCTTGAGCAAAGCATTCGACCCTAGGTTTTACTGCCTGAAGTTGGACAGAATAAAAGAGAAAGGCACTCTAATGACGGGAAGGTAAACGGAACCAGTTGTGTTGTGTTTGTTTTGTTTTGTTTTTCTGGAAACTAACTTCAGCTTTCAAGCCAACGTTTTACTTCAGCTAAGGGGAAGGGACTGGTGCACGAATTTCTCTGTTTCCTCTTATCTCTCCAGATAGTGTCTGCTTTCTTTCTGGAAATGTTGCTTAGAGAGATTGTTCGGATGTCCAGGAGTAGGGGGAAATTTGTCAATTCCCGGATGGGTCATCATCATTAATATTATTATTATTTCACTTTTTTTCCTTAAAAGAGCTTCAGTGGAGGTTTCTAAATCCCACTCAGGTTTTTCTCAGGCAGAGAAGGAAGGGTATTTGAATTAGTCGCTGTAAATTGTCCTTACGTCCTAAAGAGGTATTTCAGCAAACTGTAGACTACCTGAATGTCTTCTGAAAATACAGATTTATTTCAATGGAGGATGACAGCCTTTAGCCAGTGCAGAATAGTTTTGATTTAGAATGGATGAATCAGGATGAATCAGAAAAAATGCAGTGATCCTGGCAGATTACATTGTAGATGAGAACAGAATGTTATTACGTTGTCTATATATACCCTGTAGAACCGAATTTGTGTGGTATTCACATAGTCACAGATTCGATTCTAGGGGAATATATGGTCGATGCAAAAACTTCACATTTCTGCAAATGGTTAAAAGTGTAAATGTCTGGGGATCCAAAATGAAGTGCATGCTGCTTTATTGGAGACTTATCCAAGTCATGCTAGCTCTGTCTTATTTACTGACACCTTACGACATGGGGAATATGGATTGATGTTGGTGAATTATAGATCAGCTTTAAAAATCTGTTCATTGTAAAACTGAGTCACATGGTAGGTCTGGACGATCTGAAACTAGTTTGATAAATGAATGCTTCTGAAAGAGGGCACATTTAAAAAAGAGTTAAGAGGGTAGGTGTGAAGAATTTCCCTGGGCACTTTTTTTTTTTTTTAGCTCCTGGATTATCTGGAAAGTAGCACGAGAGGTATCGGTTTGGATTCACTTCTGCTCAAGGCAGATGGATGGACAAGGGGGAAAGTTTATATCTTTAAATTTGGGATGCTTTCCTGAGACGGTGTTACGCAGTCTTCGATTTAACTGCTTGTAACTTCAATCGTAAAGAAGTGGGGGGCGGGGGTGGGAGATAACCCGAAGCACAAACTAGAGTCGCCCTGCTTTCTGTGTGAATTTCTGTGCGGGGACCTGCTAAGTGCATTCGGAGTTACTGATTGCCTAATTTTATTCAACCGAGCTAGATTCTGGTAACTTTTGGGTGACCCCGGGGAGACAAAGCCAAGACACATCTATTGTACATCATATTCCCCTTCTGTTTGATGGCTTTTCTTTGGGCGTGGAGTCTTTCTCCCAGTTCTCCCTCTGCACGTTTTCCTCAATGTCTTGATGCCATCCCTACCCCCCAGCCTCAACCCCTCTAGCACACAGCTATATATTCTTGCTGGATGTTTTATTTACCAGTGTAACGTGAAGGGCCGGGGAATGATTTCTGGGGGATTAGTGGAAAGGGCATGGAAGGTTAGAAAAGTCAGTTTCAAACAAAAGCTCGGATTACCTGAGGGGCAAAGGAGATGGAAGTCGGAGTGATGAATCGTCCTACCACATTAACATCTGGCTGGGAACACCAAATGCATAGAGTGGAGTCACTTGATTACACGTATATTATTTAGTTAAATTTGTGAAAATTATGAGATGCTCACAAATCCGGTGATAAACTCCCTCCCTCGCCATTGGCTGGGGCGGTCACATGGCCCCCTAACTTTATTCAGTTGACAGCAAGTAGGAGGGCCCTATGGAAGGAGAAAAAAAGACAACACGAGAAAAATTAGTATTTTCTACCTTCAGAAATTAATGGCCATGAGTTCGTATATGGTGAACTCTAAGTATGTGGACCCCAAATTTCCTCCTTGTGAGGAATATTTGCAGAATAGCTACCTAGCCGAGCAGAGCTCGGACTATTATAGTGGCTCTCAGGGTTCGGATTTCCAGCATCAGGGAGTCTACCCACGGTCAAACTACAGCGAGCAGTCCTTCAGCTGTAGCAATGCCCAAGGCTCTACGGTGCCTCCGCGGGGTCATGGACAGGAGCCATCGGGCCCGGCGAGCCACTACCCTGGCCAAGGGGAGCATTGTCCCCCGCCTCCAATTCCCAGTTCCCGGGCCTGCAGCCAGCCGGCCAGCCTCAAGCAACCTCCCAACGGGACGGCCCTCAAACAGCCTGCTGTGGTGTACCCATGGATGAAGAAAGTGCATGTAAATTCCGGTAAGGTTCCTCTCCTGGCTCCAGTCGCTCTGCCTCCCCCCACCCCAGACCCACCATCCCTGAGGCTGCTACCCCGAAGTGCTTCCCCAGACCCAGCTAGGAGTTGTGGACTATGTCCGAATGTGTGTGTATATGAGTGTGTGTGTGTGTGTGTGTGCATGAGCGTGTGTTAAATGGATGCCGCAATTACTCTCCCCATAAATTTTTATAGCTGAGGAAATAGGCCGTTGGCCATGTGGTTCCTTGGCTGTATCAGGGAAGGGGGGGGGTCCTCCATTTTTAGAAGGAGAATATGTTAGAGGTGAAAGCGGGGAGTTGTAGTCTACAAAATTCAGAGCATCCAACATACACAGTTTTTGTTGGTGTTGGTGTTTTTTTGTTTTGGGTTTTTTGGGGTTTTTTTGATGGGGAATTAACGACCCCATACACCGACAAGCTTGTGAGTATGTGCACGCGCGCGTCTATGCGCGTGCCCGAGGATTGTTTAAAAATCATAATGGAGTGTAAGCTCAGATTGAACTGCACCAACTTGTTCTTATGTGGCTTACATTTACATATATTTCTTTTGTTCCCCCTCAGTGAACCCTAATTACACCGGAGGGGAGCCCAAGCGGTCCAGAACAGCCTACACAAGGCAGCAAGTCCTAGAACTGGAAAAGGAATTCCATTTTAACAGGTATCTGACGAGGCGTCGTCGGATCGAAATAGCTCATACTCTCTGTCTCTCTGAACGCCAGATCAAGATCTGGTTTCAGAACCGTAGGATGAAATGGAAAAAAGACCACAAGCTGCCCAACACTAAGGGCAGGTCTTCCTCGGCTGCTTCGAACCAGCATTTACAGCCCGTGTCCAAGGACCATCACACTGACTTGACGACTTTATAGAGGAGGTGAAATCTCTCCCCCCCATCCCATCCAACCCCTCCCATCCCTCCCCCCAATTTCATCCTTTGCTTCTGAACTGTGCTGTGTGTAGAACTGACATGATCCAAACACAACCTGCATGGAGCAGGCAAGGCCTCCCCAGGCTGTCAGCTTGCTTTAAGGTGCTGTGCTGTACAAAGCGGACTCGCTTAGGGTGCTTCAGACTTTCTTGGCATTCTTCATACTAGCACAACCCCCAAACTCTCCAGGCAGGAAGTGGAAAGTTTAGGGAAAATTATAGAGAGAGATATATAATTATATATGTGTGTATGTGTATATATAATTATATATCGAAGGAGCTACTGAGTCTATAAAAATCTGACGAATCATTAAACACAAATGGAAATTGCATCTTTTGGGTTTTCAATTTTAAAGTGAAGGTTTGATTCTATGCCAGTATCAGTCTTGATGTTCTGTCAACCCTCATCCCTCACCCTATGCAGTTTCGGGCTTATGGAATGTAGGAGAGTTCAGGGCAGAAAGCTTTTATCTGGTTACACGATTTGTGAACTTCCTGGGTCTTCTATCTTGTGGCTGATTGTGATTTAAAGTCCCTGCTCATGTTCAGAAACCCCCAAAGAAATACCTAGGAAGGAAGTGGAAACGGGTTATTTTATTTTCAGATTGTGTTTACATATTTATTTATTTGTCAATTAGAGGAGCACACACATTAAAATGCGTTAAGCCAAAAATCCTAAGCAGGGGAGCTGAAGCTCAAGGCTCCTTCCTATGGAAAATCATAGAGAATATGTACGGTTTAGAGTTTTCACTTTGCCAGGCATTTAGGACTCTCTTCCTCCTCTCCAGCCCACCTCCAGTATGGGAGAAATGCCCTACCCCTTTTATAAAGAGAGAGAGAAAAAAAAACATATCGACTCAAAGTCAATTTCTTTAAAATGTGTTTAGACTGCACAACTGGTTCTTCACTCTGCTCACAACTGCTTCTGTGGGATTTTAAAAAAGGGAACAAATGGTCAAACATTTTCATTGTGGGGAAACCAAACAAAACAGCCCCAGTCTTCGGTGCCATTGTAGAGATCCTCTTACCTTCCAATTTGATTCCCAACACAATTCACCTTGCACACCAGTCTGTTTAGGAAAGTATTGTCTTACCAGAAATCTGGAAAACATATTGGGGCTGGGGGTGGGGTGGGGGAATGCTGTCCAAATAAATAAGCAAGAAGGCAAGCAAATTGAATCAAATGGTCAAGAATAGAAGGAGGTTAGTTCTAGGATGGGAAAAAATTTCTTTTTGCTAAATAGAAATAAAATTTGTATGTCCTAGTCTTGGGTGACCTAATGCATCCTTTTAAAGTTTTCAAGTTGTCTGCCTCACTTTGAGTTGGGCAGGAGAATAACATGAAAAATACTCAAACCAAGGGGAGGGGATTCATTGCCATTTTTCTTATACTTCTCTGCCAAGAGAGGTTTGTGGATTTTTAAAAATTTTTAGTGTGTGTGTGTGTGTGTGTGTGTGTGTGTGTGTGTTTTAAACACTAACCCTTTAAACGTAAGTGGGTAAATGGAAAAGTTCTTCTAGGGCTGGTTAGAAACCAGGCTTTTTATGTTTTTTTACCCCCATCCCCCATTCCCAGTCCTCTGGGTTTCTAAGATACAATCACCAAATAAAATTATTTGAGCTATTACAGAATTAAAAGGAAGGAGAAGATGTGGAGGAGGGGTTAGGGTTAAGAGAAAGAAAGATCATAGAATTTTGTTATTTCTCCAGACATTTTGGAAGGCTCCAAAGATAATCTTAAAACAGGCTGAAAAGGAGAAAATAGCAGTTTCATACATGTGTTTGCTTCTCAGTATGGTTCATGCCAAAAGCTGGGAGCAGGTATTAATTAATTTGAACTCTTTGGCTGAAATTAGACTCTTCTAAAGTTTTTTTTTTTTCCAAGACTTGGTCTTTTGTATTAAATCCTGGAGAAAACTCTTTGTTCTTCCTTGGGGTGAGCCTGATTCTCAGACTTGCACATGGCAATACTTGAATATCTACATGTCGTGATATTAAAGATGGATATTCCTGCATTATTCGCATCATTGTTTCTATGACAAAAAGCACAGAGTTCATACATAGTAAAGACGTCTTTTTTCTGACGCCTTCATGTTGAGAAGCTGAAAAGGTATTTTACTGAAGTTCGGCTAAATTACAGAAACAGGTTCATCCAGAGGACAAATTTTCTATTCGATTAGCTGTATTTCAGCCGGGAGGACTGACCTCTAAACCCTTAACCTTTTGGACTCTAACTACCCTTCTCTCTCCCTCTCTCTCTTTTTTGACGTGGAGACCATTTGGATGCGGCATTTGTAAAGGTTTTTCCTTAGGCAAATTGGGCATTGCTCTCACTATTCCCTGAAATTCACATCCCTGAATATATTGAAGCTTTTCCATGAAATGTCTATTTTGCATGATGTCCAGTTACAGAGAGTTTCCCCCACCTCCTCGGAAGTTCAGGTTACTTAGCCCCAGCTTTCGACCAAATGTCACAATTGCTTAACTCAACTCTCCCTTGCTCTGGCTGAGAAAGCACACAAGTATGTTTTCTTGGAAAAAAGCCAAGACTCCTTCTCTTACTTAGAGCTAACACTCTGGAAAGTAACTTAATCAAAGAAGCAATCCCTTTGTTTATAAGTTTCAACTTTCCTTGTACGGCTCAAGTGATGGGCTTTTGAAATGTTAATATATATTGGATGGATGTGAGGGCAGACTCAACTCTTAAATTCATCTTGGGATCAAGGGTCCATTTGGGCTTGCTGGAAGAGGGCCACACCAGGCCAGTAGCCTCGGGAAACCCTCTCTGTGGTTCCAGCCAAAGGGAGAGACAGGAGAGTTTCCATCTGTGTTCCTGCTGAAAGGGAAGCTCGACAAAAATGAGCTCCATGGCCCATTTGCTATTTTTTTCCATTTTGTTCCAGAAAATATGAGCCAGAAGTGTTTGTTTTGTTTATGTTTTGTTTTGTTTTTCTTTTTTAACTTTGGTGGGGGTGGCTCTTTGACTGGAGGTGGAAAAGGAATGTTTTCTTTAAGAGACTGCTTCTCAGACATCCCACTTTGTAACATTGCAGCCTTTTGTTATGACATCGTCAAGCAACACTATGATCTGTCCACATAAGATGCTTTTATAGAATCTACCAATGGTTTTGCTGCCACTGATTAAAGTATTATTTATACTAATTGTTGCCTGTAGTTTTGATGTAATTTGTTCATATATATTTGAAATAATAAAAGGTGTAGAGAAACCTATTTTGTTCGTTGCCTTGACAGAAGCAGTCTTTGTAAGTCTTGAAAGAACTGTCTCAACATTTGTTTGCTTGCTTGTTTACTTGCTTGTTTATTTGCATACTTATTTTACTTACTTGTCATTGCCCCCCAGATGATACAATAATGGGGATAAGGGAGGTAAACTAGGCTTACCTTACTTTTGCTTTTTAAAAAAAATTTTAGATAGAGTACCAAAATACACCTTTATAAAGTCCCTCCTAACCTCCCATCCTGACACCCCCCTTCACCAAGCTACTTTTAAGCAATCTGACAAAACACATTGGTTGGACTGTTGTTACTGGAGAAGAGCCTTAGCTTAGAATAAGTCTACCTGGGTACTGTCTATTATTTTCTTTTGGGAACAATAATTGGCAAGCTCATGCTAAAGGACTGGTTTCCTACCTGGTTACAGCCAGGAAAGCACTCCTCTCCACGCCCACCTTCCTCTTGAACCTTGGAGCCCCACAGAGCACTGCATTCTGAGGTGAATGCGTGATCTTAAGCTGTTAATTGACAACTAGAAGGAAGAGACTCAATTCTGTAAAAAAAAAAAAACACCCAAAACTCAAAACCTACACTACCAACAGGCTTGGCTGTATTAGTTGCTTTAAGCAGAACATCTTAGACTAAAAATCTTGGGCTTAAACTTTTCTGGGTCTGCTCAGTCCAGCCCCCTGCCCCTCCTATCTCTCTTGTGATAGCAGTCCCCATAGACAACAAAAAACACGCCTTGCTATAAAAAGTGGCGGGCGGCTATTTTTATCGAGGGTATTTTTCATATTTGACTTGTCTTTCCTTGAAGAGTAGCCAAGGCAGGAGTCCAAAAATAGATGGGGCTTGCTCGAGACACGGAATGAGCACAATGCATAAAATAAGACATGTGTGCTTAATATATGGAAGGGCTTGCCAGAGACGCGTGTACATGTGTATTTATAAGTGCACAGACATAAGTTTAAATATTCAGACACATTTTATGATTATACTTTGACCGTCTTCTGTTTAATGGCTCCTCCTGTTACTACCAATACATCAGTAAAATTCTGTATATTATATCACCACTAGTCGTTAAGGAAAGAATGGGGAGGAAAAGCAGAGTCAACAGCAAACACCACTCACTGTACAGTACAGTAAGCCAGGACCTTCCCAGCAGAGCCCTTCCACACAGTCTCCAACGGCCATGTTTGCCAGCCCTTTCCCCTGAACTGGGCGATCGTAGGGATCACCAGCAGCCTAGGGAGGGCCATTCATAACGGGGAGAATTTTCAAAGTGCAAGGAAGATGATAAGAATAGATTTCTACAAGTCCCGACCACGTGATTTGCGAAATAATTAATTCAGCACGTCCCTTAAGAAACACGGACTCGTCATTAATCTGCCAAGCAAAGGACTCTATCAGACTTGAAAACTGAAGAGATCCCAAGAATATAATATACAAAGGGAGGGAGCGGACTCTTTCTCTGCACACCTAACCCTCTGTAGCAGGCGAGAAAGAGCAGCTCGGTATGTAAACATTTTACTACTTTTATTTCTTCGGATTTAAATCCTTAATGAACCTAGCTGTCAGGGGGGTTGACAAATAGTTCCCTTGGCTTCCTGATTTGGAACCGTACGACAGTGAGAAGTTGTTAGAGGTTTATATAGTGACCTTTGATTCAGAAAAGCTTTGCACTTATGAAAAATTGCTGAGAGCGGCTAGAGGCTCTGTATGTGTGCATGTGTGTGTACGCGCACGTTTTGCTTGGCTATAGCAGGAGTTGTAAAGAAAATGGCAAGGCTGCGAGGTTTGCATGTGTGCTGAAATGGGGCTTAGATTTACTGGTGTAACTGGGAACAATGCTCGCTGTCAGGGCATCTGCTGCCTATTCTTAAACCGGTGAGAAAAGGCCCGGACTTCTTTTCAAGCGAGGGTCGTAAATTTTTCTTTGCGTCATAATAGAAGGCTATAAAATCGAGTTGAAATTTTACCCAAGGCAGGTTTTAACCAACAGATAATGATTTCCGAGTTCCTTCTCTCCCTCCCCCCCCATCTAGACACTGCTGCTTCCCTCACTCAAGCTAGGCATCTTTTTGCTCTTCTGTCTTTTCCTCTCAATTTTCCAGAACGGGGGAAAGAAAATAGAGCGAAGGAGGAAACATCTTTCTTTTTTCGTGCTAGAGATCTGGCTATCTCTGGGAGAAAGAAGCCCACTTGGGGGAGGAAGGAGGGGACGAGAGAGGAGAGGGGCTGGTGAAAAAGAAGACACTTTGTCCTCTTCACAAATAATTTCAGACTTTTTTTTTTCTTTTGGAAGGCAATGCTGGATCTCCCTAGGCCCGGTGTTTCACCTCTCCTCGCCCCCTCCATTCATCCCTTCCTTTTCTTAAACCTTTCAAAGGGGGTCTGGGAGAGAAGCACCTTTTCAGCCCCAAGTCTATCTTTTGCTCTGCGAAAGCGAGTGCTCTAGTTAGTGCTTTGGAATTCCCTTTAATTGAGCTTTCGCAGGAGTCCTGTTCCGGATACCTCCCTGGGAGTTTTTTTTTTTTATTACTTCCGTGGGTTGTTGGTGTTTTCTTTTTCTTTTCTTTTATTACGTGTATTGGTGGATTTTTTTTTTTCTGGCAGGACTGAGACAAAGTTTTCCCCGTTATGAATTATACATTCAAACAATAACACATTAATTCAATTATTCAAACATGACAAATGTTTATGTGTTTTGCTGGTGACTCAGGCACAGATTCGGTCCTTATCAGGAGCTGCTCTGATATTTTTCTCTATGAGGATTTACTTCACCCTTTATTTCCACCCACCCACCCACCCAACACCCCCTCCTTCACCACCCGACTTTCCTTTTTAGGTCCAGAGGGGGAAACATTGCAAAATGACCGGTTGAACTCCAGTCCCCCCCCCCCACCCATCCCACCATTCTCCCAAGAACGGGACTGCTTGGGCACCGGGCTCGGGATATTTTATCAGTTTGACAATTGCCCGGGTTGTTGTGATAAATCATCGTAAGTAATTCCTGAAAGGGTGCGAGGCTGTTGGGGGCCGGGCGAGGACTGTAAATCTTTCCGTTTTATTGCTCTATGAACATATGCTGCGATTGAAGAAGTCTTAGATCCTTTCCTTGAGACAAATTCCCTGCAAAGCCGCCCTCCCTTTCCGACTAGGGATTAACACTTGCTCCCCGTCTGTTCCTGTTCCAAACCAGAAAGACTGGGGGTTGGTGAGGTTGAGGAAAAGAGGGCTTTGGGTCCAGAAAGAAAGCTCACGAAGAAAGATCATTTGAGGCGAGGTTCACCAAATTAAACAAAAGAAGAGAGGCTGCCGGATGAATTTTTTTTTTTGCCCTTTGTCGCCCCCCCCCCCTTTTTTTGGTATGGCCTGCGTTGGTTGTTGCCTCCTCTATTTCCACTTAGTAGAAAACTGTTTTTCCTAATTAAAAAAAATTATCAAAAGGGAGGGAGGAAATTTGTGCGCCTTTTCCACTTTGTCCCATTTATGTATTATGTATGCGTGTTCAAAGTACACACCCCAAGAAGAGAGGAATTTTCATTGAAATGTGGTTATCAGATTTGAAATTCATAAGCATTTGCAAGTAAGAGATAGACTGAGGAAGCACATGTGTGTATATCTTTGTCTACGATAAATAAATCCAGTGTGTAGTGGACGTGAATGGAATGGATTATATTATATGCCTTATACATGTCTGTATGTTGGTGATTAGGTGAATAAACACACAGATTCGTGTATGACTGTCAAGGGCTGGCAGAAAATGATATATACAGAAAGTCTTTTCTTCCTAGGCATTTATATTTCAAGGCAGAGTTCCACGACACCTTTTTCAGTGGGTGGTTTAAAACCATCCTTTTTTCGCTCCTCAAAAGAGCGAGAGAGCAAATCGTGGGAAGAAAAAACAAACAAGCCAACAAGAACAATCGGCTAACAATTATTTACACGGAACCTATTATCCTTCCATAATTGGACCCCAATCTTTTTATAACTGACTTGCAAAGTCATAGAAAGCAATGTAATTTAGATAAATGTTACAATCTCTTCTAGTTCGGAAGGTAAGGCCATACGTTACTGTCAGGCCTCGGGCTGGGCTTGGGAAGGGACCTGAGGACAGACACCCACCATTGCCCCTGGCTCTGGGGTCTTCAACTACCGGAAAACCTGGAACAAAGGAGATGAAGATAGTCGGGGAGAGGGCTTGAGAAGTTCAGACTCTCTGTAGATAAACAGTACACATTAGTCACACGCACCCACCCCCGGGGAACGGTTTGTCTTAGCCCCCACATCAAGCTTTTCTTGAGGGCTCTTCAATCTCTGCTGCTCCAGGAAATCTCCTCTGGACATGGCGGAAATAGGAAAGAAAGAGAGAAGACTTGGGGAGGGTTTTTCTAAGAGAAACATTTCCATCTAGGCACTCTTGGGGTTGCTGCTAGGTGCAGATTCGTCTCTCTACCCCCACCCCCACATCTTAGAATTAAGTCTCTCTTCTCTTCTCCCCGTCCCACCAGTGGCGGATTAATCATTTATTTGATCAGCAAGGTCTGGCAAAACTGCCATTCAAATTAATTAATACCCTATGTGTTTGTTTTACCCACAAGGAACAGAGGGAGAGAAGCGCCGTAGTAAACACAATGCAAGCCATCGGGATGGCTGGGCGTCTGTGTCGCAGGCGAGCTGACTTGGGGCAAGCTCTTTAAGGCTCGGCTCTGTTCGGCTCCCTTCAATTTCTGGGTGAAGAGACAGTCTTGCAAACACTGGAACCCACCAGGCCTCTTTCGTCCAAGGGACCTGAGTAGCCAGGGAAAGAAGGCTCTCTCCCTCTACCCAAAGCTAGCTGGTTCCTGTCCCTCAAAAGGGAGCTGAAGCTATTCGGAAAGTTGCAAGGTGGTTAAGGTGCTCTCCTCTTACTCCTCTCCCCCACCCCACCCCCACCCCGGGGATTGGAGCCGGGCGGGGTGCTTGCGCCCACCACCTCCTGAGACCCTCCTCCTTCCACCAAGCCCACCCCAGCCCCCCAGCCATGCCCGTGCTCCGGGGATGGACAGCGTGAAAGTTTCAGCTTCAATCAGAACAATCTGCTCTCGGGATCACGTGAACAAATATGCTTCGCGTTTTAAGGCAGCGCTTGTATTTTCCGATCGTGAGGGGGTTTCTGGGGCTCGCTCCAAATTCATAGAGGGCCACGTTCTGAAATCAAAACAAACCCAGACTGGGGGGTAGAAGAGAGGGGTTGGGGTATAGAGAGGCACCCGAGGCAGCCTCAGCGCTGGAGGGCGGCGGATGGCACTGGGAAAGGGGCTTGAATCCCACATTGAGAATTCCATCCTTCCTGCCTTTATTGGTCGTTGAACCTCAGCCTGGTTCCATTCTATCGGGAATACTGTCTGCATGGGTATATGGAAATGTCTGTAAAGCCGCAAGATCAGGTTTAGGACAGTATTGTCTGCAGACAAAGGGTGAAGGATATATTCTCACAACTGCAGGCGCACTTATTGAGACTGAGGAGACCAGGTTTATGATAAATTGAGATTCAGGTAAGCAATTGCATGACAAACAAATGGAAACCTTTGAGCACAGGGCCGCACGCCACTGCCTTTAGCGAGATACTAAATATGATTTATTTTGTGTAATCTGTGATCTTGATTATTGCCAATTTGTTAGCCAGCCCGCATAGACCTATATACACTTATACATATACATCGAGGACGATGATTAATCGTAATGAGATGCACTTTGTGGGGAAGCTCCCCGGGTTCTCAAAGGTTAGGAGAAGATATTCGCCTCCTTCTTAGGCTGGCTGGTGGGGTAGCGGGTATGGAGGGGAGGGGGATGAATTTAGGGGAGGGATTGGGGAAAGCTGGAGGAAGGGCTTTGAGGGTCAATCTGTAGTTCTGAGAAGAGGCTGAAAATGAAGTAAATAAAAAAAGAAACTTTTTTTAGGCTGTCACTGCCAAAGTAAGATGGAATGCCATATTAATTCCTTGTCTTGGGCTGTTGGGCAGGGTGCAAGAAGGTTGATTTATATGTATTTAAAATAAACTCAGTGGCAATGTAGCCTCTGTGCATTGTTCTTTAAACCTCTCCACATGCATGGATTGGACCTTCCTTTTTCTCAGCTGTTAGGTTAATATTTCTCCTTTTTTTATGAAATTGTTAGCCAAGTCTCTTCTCTACCCTTTCCCCAATATGTTCAAGAGCATAAAATAATATAAGCCAAGAAGTGCTTTTTAAAATGGACTCTAATTTTTCTTTCAGCAATTTCACTAGTGGCTACCATCTTCACAGAGGTTTAGGTGATTCTGGGTCTATCCCTCCTCCTCCCATTTTACTGCTTTCGCAAAGTAACTAGACTAAATACAAAATCATATATTTCTTTTCACCACCGTCCTAGCCTTTGTCTACTTGAAGACCATTAGATTATTCTTTTGGTTCCCAGCTTCAGACAAAAAAAAAAAACCCTGAGCCCATCTTTGGAGCTTCTCCTCTGTGGTCTCCTCTGTGGGTCGAGGGTAGGTAGGACCCACTTTGGCTGAGAAGGCAATTTAGGATCCAGTTATAGGTGGAGGAGGGAGCTCATCTTTCTTCCCTCCAGATTAAAAGTGTCTCCAGCAAAAACAGGGGAGGTGACTCGGACCCCCTGGCCCGGATTGCAAGGGGGTGAAAGAGCTTTTCAGGTGATACCCTTCTAGGTGCGTCCCCTCCAGACCTTTGCAGCAATCAGAGGAGACAACAAAGTTGTTTTGTCAATTGCATGTGCCTGGCTCGATCAGAACTTAAAGGCACTGGACATTTTTCTTAGCTCTATGCCTCGGAGCTGTGAGGCTGCCAAGTTAGTCAGCTGAATCCAATTACCGCCACCAGCATTTCATTTGGCCCCATAGAAGCAGTCACTTATAACTTCACCGAAAATTTCAATAATGCTAGGATCGGGTCTATGCCTGAGCAATCCTAAAGATTTTCTCGGGGAGGGTGGGATTGGGAGCTGGAGGAGGGAGTTTAGAGGCTGGGGACTGGAGTAGTCTCCTGACAACTTTGGGTTCCGGCTTCCACGACTTGTTCTTGGAAAGGATGCTACAGTCGGGTGGCCCACAGCCAGTGCTAGGAGCATCTGATCTTTTGAGATCACCAAGTTGGGATCTTCCTCATCGGTGGGTGGGCCATAAGAGAGACGGTGGGAGGATGGGGTTTGGGGTGCTGGGTACCTGAAGTCTAGACTTTGGCCAACTTTGTCTAGCTTTACCCTTCGCCTTCCCTAAGACTAAGCTAGATCTGCTTCTACTGCGGAGAGCCCAAAGGTGGGCCACGGGGATCCCATGTCGATAACTAATTAAATAACAAAATGAAAACTTACCCAGTTAATCAACCGTTCATTTTAAGGGAAAAAATGAAAACGAAAGAAGGATTTGTGTTTTTTGTTTTGTTTTGCTTTGTTTTGCTTTAGAGGGGGAAAAAAGTAAGCAATGTGCTGGGATCTCTTGCAGCTGGGATCCGGCAGAGAGTTTAACAGCCTTTCAGCTTTCAGTGTCTTCTTCTGGAAAGGATGCTAGTCTTAATGAACCCCATTTCAAAAAAAAAAAAGGAGAGAGAGAGAGAGGAAAGAAGAAAGACTTAAAGTAGACATCTGCCCACGTGAATATATTCTATAAGACGTTATTGGGACAGGCCCAGGACCAACGACCTGGGGAAGGTTGGCGCCTTAGACGCCCAGCTTCTCTTTCTCTTCCAAATTCCCGTTTGTTTTTCCTATAAACAGCCCCAAGTCAAGTTATTTGGCAAAGGGAGGCAGGATGCAGCCTACTGGTACTGGCTAGGGACTTAGAGGAATTGGTGGCAAAGTTGGGAGCCCCGTGGTGTTGGGATCTCTTGGAGGCGCTTTCGTTGGGTGTTCATTAAGGGGTGAGTTATTGCTACGCGAGCCAAAGGTCATTTCAAAGGCTTACGATTGTGAGATCTTGTCTTTATAATGGCCGAGATGCTCTGTGTGTGTGTGTGTGTGTGTGTGTGTGTGTGTGTGTGTGTTTATCCCTTGCGTGGTTAATGTTTTCAAAGTACCGAGTCAACAAATTACAAAGGCTAGAAATAGAGGGGGAATATTTGATCCCTCCTTTCACCTTGTTTTATCAGATTCCCTTCACCCCCTCAAGCTCCAGATTTCAGTGGGCGGCAGTGTCGGGGAGGCCTGGTTGCACAGTTCCTCTGTTTGTGAGCGATTCTCATTTCTTAGGGTGTTTCCCGCCAAACTGAAGTCGAAGAGTTGAATAGATGTGGGCAAGAGCGCCAAGGCTTTGTTTATTATCATAGACCTAAGATAGCCACCTCTATACATCATATAAGAGTCCCGGTAATGGAGTCTGGGGGTCTTGCTAGTAAATTTCCATTTTTTTTCTCTCTGTCTCCTCAGGGAAGTGATGGGGGGCACTGGAGAGCTCAGCAGTTTGTATCTTTTGGCCCAGGGGAGGCGTCAGCCACTTTCCATCCCTACCCCTCACCCCTCGGTTATGGGTCTCCAATTCTGCCCATTCCCCACTTCAAAGTTCCCTTCCATGTGCATCTATTCCTTCACATTTCTGCTCCCAGAGATTAGCATACACTCACAGAGCTCCTTTCTTCACTTGGGACGATGGTTAGCCCTAGGCCTCTATGAAAGTTAGGCATCTATTCCAGCAGGCTGGCTTTGGAGGAGGGAGATGGGAAGCAGAGAGATGGTGTCGTTTTTTCCTCCTCTGTACCCCTAATTTGGAAGGGTGATGGAACCTCAGGATTTTTGTTCTCAGAACTTTCAGATTTCTTCCCTCTATGCCCTGAACTTTCATTGTTTGAATAAATCTGCAAGGCCGCGGTAAAAGTTTGCCCTCCAGTCAAGGTACTCTGTGGGAAAGGATTTAGTTTTATGCATCACCAAACCAAACAAATTCTCTCCATCCCCTGAAAGTTGTCCCTCTGAATTAGGGCGAAAGAGGTGTACGCAATATACATTGATTATGAAGCTCTAACAGGGGGAGAAAAGGCTCTCGACACATTTGTGTGTGAGTGCGCAGAAGAGACAGCTTCAGTTGAGAGTTTTCCATTCTGTTCCAGATCCTCCTCCGCGGATTATCAAGAGAAACCTGAAGACCCTACAAAAAGAGTTAAAGACAAAATTCAAGGGAAAAAAACGTAATTGTGGTGAGTGTTTTCTTTAATTCCACATACTTTCCACTTACCCTGCAACTCAGGGATGTTGCACCAGGATTCCTACATTACAGACCTAAAACAAAAGAGAAACTTTGAAGTTTATCATCTCGATAAGAACTGCGACATTCCATGATAACCAATCACCAGTCTTAAAATTTATTGCTGCTTAATGGCGTTAGTCCTAGTGCCTTAAATGCACTGTGTGTTATGGTATTGCATTATCTCGTATAAATAAGAGTGATCTAAAAACCGCTAACCCAGGAATTACCATTGTTTATAGCAGCCACAGGGTAGAGTGTGAAAAATAATTTGAGAACATCTTAAAATGCTGCCATATAAAACAATTAACCTTTACGAGTTGAAACTGCGAGGAGAAAAATTGAAGACCTGGAAATGATAGGCAACTCTAACGAGGGTGGGGGTGAGGGGAGTAGCCTCCCCTGAGAAGGGCATGTATAGCCACACACCCGATTCATGGAATATATATGTTCAAGAAAAGAAATATGCATGGTAGACTTCCTAATTCTGTTTATCAAAAGCAGAGGGTGAGCAGCCTATGGTCTGTAGATTATTTAAAGAGTAACAGAAGGAACCAATATTCCACCCCCACTTCTCTCTAGACCTACATGGAATTTATAACACGAACGTAATTTACTAACAATGGCGGCTCTTGTCAAATTCCATCGATTGTCTCCCCCCTCCTCTACATCCCAGGCCCCTTTCAACTGCACCACAAATAAGAGTCCGTGTCTTGAAGTTCCTCTGGGTGGGGTGTGGTGCAGAGGTAGAGTAGTATCCATTAGGTGCCCTGAACTTTTTCCGCTTCAAAGTGCCCTGTAGAAAAAAAGGTGCTCTTCCTTCTTGGAGAGAAATAAAGGCTCAACAACAGCCCCTGGGCCCTAGGAGGATGCGGTCTGAGTCCTGGCGGAGGAGAGCTAAGGGGGACGGAGCGGACCACCTTATATAGATCTCCCCTTCCTGTTAGCCAAGCTGGGAAAAGTGCGGCGTCGCGAATTCTTTTGCTGGTCTCCCTCCTACGCGGAGGCTGTTTTACACTTCTGAAAAGTGCGAGAGGGCTTGGGAAGTGTTTTCCTTTTCATTCCTTACTGAAGCGTTTACTGCCCGTCGTACTAGCGGTCATAAATTTTGTTACAAGGCGCAATGACAGGTGCATTGATATGCACCGCGAGAGCTCCGGCTGCTTAATAACCCCATCCACTGGCCGCTCTGACTGCCTTTTATTTATTCGGTATCATATTAGGTATTGATCCCCAACAGAATTAAGTGTAGTGAGCAAGTATTAGTACCGAGCAGCTTCATATGAATATGTTTGGGCGTCGGATCGAATGCAATTGGGAGGCCGGGAACTTGTCAAGAGAGAAGTTTGTTGTATTCTTACACGTGGGTGCGTAGGGGTGGGTGGGTGACCGTTTGGCGCCACATTCCTGCCGCCTCCCTTGTCTTCAGTCTGACTTCCCAAAGGGTTGGAGTTACCGAGCAGGCTAGGAGCTTCCCTGGGAACCGGGAGAAAGGACACACGGCCCATTTCTGTGTTTGAGGACTTTGCTTAGGGCTGGGTAGCCTGGAGTCAGATACTGGAAGGGTGGGGTCACACTGGCTTTATTGGCTGCAACATATGGCAAAGGTTCATTTGGCTTTAGCCTCCAACCATTTTTCCAGGGTCGTGCTCCTGGGCTGGGCCTGCAGCCTGCTTGCAGAAACCCAGCTTTTCTGTGCCTCCCCCATATATGGTCTTTCCCCAGGCATTTTTGTGCTGAGCCCAAATGTACTAAGGTACCAAAGGGTGGAAAAAAAAAAACTTAAAGGGGGGGGATCCAAAAGATGAGCCACTGAACAGTTGACCATTGTCCAAGTGATTTATGACCCATTCCTCCTTTTTAGGTTCAAGCAGAGTTCACAAGGAGTAGGGATTTCTTAAAAGAAATAGGGTTTAAAAAAAACCCAGTTCCACAACAATATTCTCATTTTCTTGTTCATAAAGAGGTAGCTTTTTGGGGAGCACTGCATTTTATCTGCTATCTACAATCCCTATACAATAAAAAGTGGTGGCCCTATGCACACTGCTAGTGAAAATGTACAATCGGCAGATACTTATTGAATTGCTCACAAAAATTCAAAACAACAGAAACCGAGGCACTGAACTTTGAATTTTTGTGTTCTCCCCATTCATCACCAGTTCTATACTTTTTAGGCCCCTACACATAACACTCCTCTAGAAATACTTTATGGATGTTTAATATCACTCAGTCTGTGCGTGTGTAATAGTATAGATAGATAGGTATTATACATGCTTTCCCCTAAAGGCATGAGATTGTTTTAAGCAGCTACTTTAATTTGACTGCTGTTCTTATAGCATAAGTCTGAAGATAAATTATTTCTGAACCTTGTAAAAGTAAAGGGGATTTTTTTTTTTGCTACAACAGTTGTCTAGATGAAATGGCCATATGAAAAGTTTGAAGTGATCTTGAGTTTTGAGTGATCAGAATCTCCACTGTTAATCTTTTAGTTGCATAAAGTGCCTGGGTCTCAAATAATGGAAAGAAGAATCTTAGGAAAAATCTGAAGCTCAGCCAAAGCCTCCTCAAAGCTAGCATTTTAACTCCTAGTCTAATCATGAGTTATATAACCCTGTATTGGTCATATGATTAAATAAATTAGCTGTTATTTTGCTATTTAGTTACTTTAATTTTCAGGGCATTAGATATAGACATTAAAAAGAAATGCATAGAAAAAGATTCAACTGGTTTAGGTACATATAGGTAACTGCTGCTTATCATGAGAAAACTGGAATGTGTTTATCTGTATACATGTCAAGAAAGTATTGAGAGTGAAATTTCAGACACAAAAAGTAATGCTTTCTTTGTATCATCTTCAGAGCAGCCAACTAGCCTGCAAAGAGCTCTTACTAGCCTGTCTTTCAAGATAGAGAATAATTCTATTCATGATGTATATCAAAATCAAATTTTAACAATTCCAAATTTAGAGTTCGATGAAGAATTTTTTTTAGTGTTAAATTGGTATTAGGCACTCAAAGCAGTGAGCTGGCAAAGAAATAAGCAAACTGAGGAAGTTTTTTGTGCCAATAAATGCTTCAAATATTCTAAGTAATGCAATTTGTATAAGTAATTCAGGTTATCTTAATTGTTCAGATGGAAGCTTAGGGAATGTCTCAAAGAAGAGAAAAGAAGGGACTCAAAGATTTAAACTGAGGAAACTAGTCATGAATTAAGGCAAAGGAGCTGACCTATGTATTTTCTTTATCATACAAACAAAAGTTTCGGAACACTATTAGTTATACTTTAACTTCTTAGAAATCCTTCAGAGGGAGTAGAAGATGAGGAGAGAAACCCCTATTAAGAGCCATGAGTTTACAATAGGGGTGGAATTTTCCTTGGTTTTTTTTTGGGGGGGGGAAGGAGGATTCTAATTCTTGCTCTATCCATCATGTCATGGGTGGCTCTCTTGTTGAAGACAGAGAGAAGGCAACTGTAACAGAGACAGAGAAACAGACAGGGAGCGAGACAGACACACACACACACACACAGAGACTATATCAAAGTAAAGGTGCATAATCACAATCCTTTATAGACTAGATCTAAGGTAAAATTATAGTAAAAAAGCATGTTGAAAACCATCTCTTATTTATCTATGCCTACTTATACCACTAATTTAAGACCTGCAACCTCATTCATCACCATGGAACCTCCATTTCAGGATATAAAAAGAGGATATAAAACCTGAAATAATAGAGGATTTTGTTGGGGGGTGGGGTGGGGAATCATTAGATGTAATCCTGAGAACATTTCAGTAGTCTTAACAGACTTTTATCCTTTATTTTTCTTCCTTATTAACCTGTGAGGCCTCATTTTGATAGCTTTACGTGACTACATGTGACTCCATGAATGACTCAGACTCAGAAATAACTTTCCTTAGGAAATCTCGTCATTCTAAGGGTCTCATAGGGTTTTCTCTTTCTTCATCTAATAGTAGAAGTACTTTCAATGGAAACTCCACTATTATTTTTCTACACAGATTAAGAAATACACAATCAGTGTGTTTGAGAATGATAAAACCTCTTTGAAGGAAAGTCCCTTCCAGAGAAGGAAAAAAACAGAAAGACAGAGACAGAGAGAGACAGAGACTGAGTGAATAGTGCATTTCTTGTTCAAAAAAAATTTCTTTCTTTTTCTTACAAGGGTTTAGACAAACTGAATTTCACAAGACCCCCAATACAGCATTTCTTCCTCTGTCCCCACTTCTTTCACAAGTAGGTATAAGTGAAAGGATAGAAATGGGACCCAACTGGGGGTGGGAGGGGGCTATATTCTATGTTCTATATTGACTTATCTTGCCGATGACAGTCCCATTGGGCTCTCTTGTCTTTCTTCCCAGCAGGTTGCCCCCTGGGCTGGGGCTGAGCCATAGCTCATCCAAGAAGCCAGTAGGAGCTGGAAGTGGAGGTGAAGGAGACGGTGGCAGTCAATGTTATTTGAGCTGGGTCATCAGGCCCCAGAGATCCCCAAGTGCACGATGCAGAAGACTGCCTACTATGAGAACACGGGCCTTTTTGGGGGTTATGGCTACAGCAAGGCTGCTGACACTTATGGCTATGGGTCCACTCATCAGCCCTACCCACCCCCTGCTGCCCCTGCAGCCCTGGATGCTGACTACACAGGTTCTGCTTGCTCCATCCAGAGCTCAGCACCAATCCGTGCCCCAGCCCACAAAAGTGGGGAGCTCAATGGTAGCTGCATGCGTCCAGGTGGTGGGAGTGGTCAGACTGGTGGAGGTGGTAGTCAACCCCCTGGCTTGAACACAGATCAGCAGCCACCACCACCACCGCCTCCCCCACCACCCACACTGCCCCCATCCTCACCTACAAATCCTGGTGGTGCTACCCCAGGCAAGAAGGCCAAGGGTGGCCCCAATGCCTCAGGCTCTTCCTCTGCTACTATCAGCAAACAGATCTTCCCCTGGATGAAGGAATCCCGGCAGAACTCCAAGCAGAAGAGCAATTGTACCACTTCAGGTAGCCTTCCATTTGTTCTTTTCCTCTGGGGTCCCTTGACCTAACTCCCATCCCATCCAATGACATTCTATCCAACCTAGACTCATAGAGTTAGAGGGGACCACCTGAGACACCATATGGTCCCATTGAGATCTTCCACGAAATTCAAAAACTCCCTTTCCAATATATTTGACAAGTATACTTTCTTCACATATAGCCTCTGCTCAAACACTTCAAACTTGGGAGTTCACTATCTTTAAGTACATTCTATTGTTGGGCAACTCTGATTGTAAGAAGGTTCTTCTTTACATTGAGCAGAAACCTACCTCCATGATTTCCAATCATTGTTCCTAACTGTGCCCTCCAGAGCAACAGCAAATCTCTATTCCTTCAAATATTTGAATTGAATTGAATTCAACAAACATTTATTAGTCAAGGTCACTTCTGCCCACAGTAGGTGATAAAATGATGCCTGCTGAATTATTTTACTGAATCTTATCCTATTCCCCAAGTAAATGGTCCCCATATCAACCCAATCCCATCCAACCTTGTCAAATAGGCCAAAAATTACTCAACACCATTTAATCATTGGTTTTCTTGGATCACAGAGAAAGAGTAGCATGAGCCTCAGCCATAGATAACTCTGAGACTCCACTCAAGGGAGAGTCATGAGAGAAATAGAACTGAGGGAAAGGGCCTCTTGTTCAAGTCAATCCAGCAAGTATTTACTGCGTATTACATTGAAGGTACTACAGTAGGTACTGTGGGAGATACAAAAATGTATGAGTCACAGGCAAGAGATGATAGTCTAGTGATAAAGGGTAGAGGAATGACATTTTTTTTTCAGTAATAAGAGCAAGTCAGGGTATTCCTGTTTTGATCTGTGCTCAAGTCACTGGGCTTCTGTGATAATCTGTCTTCTTTAATTTGGCTTGCAAATGGTGAATGAACTTAGTTTTCTGGACCAAGTCATTAGGGAAGTCAATGAATCTGACTTGGTATCAGGTTTTTAGTTTTATTGTTGCGCTCTGATCTCTCCTCCCTAAGAAAGGTCAACCAGCCAACAAGCTACTTTTCCTGCCCTCCAGCCTTAAGAAAGGGTTCAAGAAGCACCCAATCATCCATTTGTCCCCTATCTTGCCAAGGAGAAGGGTGATCTCCGGTGTTTCCTTGTGGGTGTGTCTATTGATACCCACCATTCCACTACAAAACACAGTTACAAGATACTTCTGTATACCCTGGAAGAATTAAAGAGGAAAAGGACCCACATGTACAAATATATTAATAGTAGCTCTTTCTGTGGTGGCAGAGTTGGAAACTAAAGGGCTGCCCATCAACTGCCCTTTCTCCTTCCTTTAGTACCCTCACCGGTAGGAATTTAGAGTGAGTCTGCTCCCGGAGGAACTGCTTCATTTAAAATGCTATCCCCACCCCCACCCCCAAGAAAAAGGGCCTCTTTAAAGACCAAGAATAGCTTTCCCAGTTTTCTGTTCTACTGAATCTGCAAATCAGTTGAAGTTTGGAACCTAGTTCCCCAGGCCCTGAAACTTCTTTGTTCAAGAAAGCCTCACCTCACTGCACTTGTGAGCTCAACAATATTCAATACTCAGAAGGCTGGTTTGAGGCCTGCTACCAAGGAAGAGCTGGAGTTGAGAGGGATAAGAAGAGACCGGCAGTGTGAAGAGCATCTTACCAGTTATTTTCCATTCCACATTCCAACATCTGAGCATATGAGCCATCCCAGGGTCATACTCTAGGGTGCAAAATGTATTTAGAAATGGTATTTTCTGGTGAGAGTCTAAAGCCACATATTCAATGGTTAGAGGCCTGTGCGGTCCTTTTTCTAACCTTAACCTTTTTCTAGCTGGTCAGGGAGCCCAACCCAGGGAATGGTGACTGTGGGGAGGAGGAGGGGGAGGAGGTAAAAGGGGAAGACAGGATTCTCCTCTTTTCCGCAGGTGCCTCAGTCCCTCAAACTCTTCACGTCAGGCTGACCCTCGCCCCACTTTTTTCTCTATTTCTCTTCCTTCTTTCCCCAACTCAGGTGAGAGCTGTGAGGACAAAAGTCCTCCCGGCCCGGCGTCCAAACGGGTTCGTACAGCTTACACAAGCGCGCAGCTGGTGGAGTTGGAGAAGGAATTTCATTTCAATCGCTACCTGTGCCGCCCACGCCGGGTGGAGATGGCCAACCTGCTCAACCTCACCGAGCGCCAGATCAAGATCTGGTTCCAGAACCGACGGATGAAATACAAGAAGGACCAGAAAGCCAAGGGCATCATGCACTCGCCTGTGGGTCAGTCTCCCGAGCGCAGCCCTCCGCTGAGCGGGGCTAACCACGTGGGCTACTCAGGCCAGCTCCCCCCAGTGCCGGGGCTGGGCTACGATGCTCCCTCGCCCCCTTCCTTCGCCAAGTCCCAGCAGAACATGTACGGCCTGGCAGCCTACACGGCGCCGCTCAGCAGTTGCCTCCCACAACAGAAGCGATACCCAGGGCCGGAGTACGAGCACCACCCCATGCAGAACAACGGGAGTTTTGCCAACGCCAACCTACAGGGCAGCCCGGTCTACGTCGGTGGGAACTTTGTCGACTCCATGCCAGCCTCGGGTCCAGTCTTCAACCTGGGCCACCTCTCCCACCCCTCGTCGGCCAGCGTGGACTACAGCTGCGCCGCCCAGATCCCGGGCAACCACCATCATGGACCGTGTGACCCCCACCCCACCTACACAGATCTCACGTCTCACCATACGTCTCAGGGAAGGATTCAAGAAGCCCCCAAACTGACGCATCTGTAGTGGGCCCCGGCCCTGTCGGAGGGCGCTGCAGCGGCGGACTCACGTTTGAATTACCTCACTTTGGTTTGGGTTTGTTGTTTTTCTTTTTAAAACATTTTTTTTGTTTGTGTGCCTGTTTTTCCCTTCTTCCTCCCCTCTCCACTCTCTTGACGTTCCCTGGTCCCTGTAACTCAAAGGGTCCACAGTCTAGTAGTGGATGGGTCTCTCTTTCCCTAACCGCTCCTCCTTTGGGGTAACTCTCCATAAATCAACTAAAGGGATCCTCTGTGAGCATGACAGTGCAATATACTGCAAACCAAGGGACTAATAATCTGGTAATGATGTACTGGAAGGTAAGTCTTAGATCAATTAGAATTAGCAGCGCGTCATGCTGAGGGGTTGTAGACCAAGTGTGAGCGATGGGATCTTGCCTGCATCGAAGCTTATTTCAGAGACGTTAATTTATATAATTCCTCAGTAATGTAAGGATTGCATAGTACTAAATGATATGTATTTATTATTTTAAGGCAGTCATTTTGTATCACGGATTATTTATCCTCGTCTTAATGTATTTATGTGTATATTTGTAGAGTTTATTCAGCGTATCTTCGGGAGATCGATTCAGGTCCGCGGTGGCTACGTTTCACCTATTTAGTCTACTTGGTCTGAACCTAGTTGAGAGAGTAGTTTTGAACAGTTGTAACAGTGGCTGGTGTTTGTAGTTTATGTGAGGATTAATTAAGACCGCAAATTGTAATTCATTTAATAGAGTGGCACAGAACCGTGGCTTTTCGCAAAGGCGGTTTTGCGTTGTCTGAACACACACAGCACACACCACACACGGTTTATTAATTTCAAGTTGTCTGGTACCATTTGAACAAATACTTAGAATAAAAAAAATACGTTTCTCAGTTAGAAGTGTATCTGTTTTGATAATGCAGCCTTTCGAGCAGATCACGCTGCCATTTTCTTGCTGATAAACTGGGACACAAAGCCCTTCTGAGGCTGGAGAATGCTTGTGGATGGGAACCCAGAGCCCTAACTCCTTTTGGGGGCTACTTTCCGACATTCCAGCTGTTCGAACCTAGAAGAGGAAAACCCTAGATGGCAGGAATTAGGAGCAGTTTTAATAGTGATGATTCCATTAGAGGTTTCCGGAAGGACTCACAATGCTGCTGCCTCTCTTTGTTGTTTCTGCAGCCGTCTTTCTACTAGGCAGGAATCGATTTTTTTTTGTAGACTTCATTCCAATTTGGGAGGCTCAAGCTTACTTTTGTGCATTAAGTAATAATATATTTAAAAAGGGAACTTTGAAAGAAAATTGACAATCAAAAAAAAAAACCACGAGGCACAGGAAAAAACAAAACAAAACAAACCACAACCCACCATCCATGAATCCTGTGGAAATGTGCCCAGAAGCTTTTACTTAGATAATGTTGTTCACTATTCACCTCGTTCTCTTTTGTAGTAGCCAATGGTTCATTTCTAAGGAAAACAAACCTTAACTCACAATGTAAAATAATAGAAGTTTCACTAATGGAACCGAAAACCATAAACACCTTGTTTACTTTCCCACCCCCATCCCCCTCACCTAGGACGCCACAGCATTTTGGGCTTGCGAATATTTTGTAAATATCATTGAATATCATTGGCTGGGCCCATTATAATTGATATCATCTTCTCTGAGGGGCGTTCTTTGAAAACGCCTCCAGATAAGGGTCAATTCTTTAGTATTTCCAGCGAAGTTGTCCGACTCATTTCTCTCTATTGGGTCTGACAAATCCTGCAGCTCCTATCTCCGGCCCCTGGTGACAAGAGGTGAAATGCCTGTTGTGTGGAAATATTTTAACTCCTCATCCTCTGATTGAACAGCAATGGTTTCTATTTTGATGTTTGTGTTTTGCTGAATAATAATGACTCCAGATAATATTTAGAAATTACCTGCTTTCTTTGTGCTGTTTTGAAAATGGCATGTTAGGTTGGAGAAAACAGAAGCATCCTCATTTCATTCGATTCAAGAAGGATCACATATTACAATATTCATGTTATAGATGTATGAAAACAAACCAACAGAATAAACAGCTTCAAATGAAGGTATATTTTACCCACTTTAAGGCTTAAAATTGTTTTCTATGGAAATCTTCAGCAATAGGCAGAATCCATGATTATCTAGGACAAAATGATTTTTAAAGCTATTAGGGAACCTCAGAAATAGCACATTGCCTTTCAAGGACTATACCAACCTTTCTGGACTGGCTAAAATTAAATAGATGAATTGTCAGGTTGTTTAGACTTCAACTACTTTCCCCATCTCCTCTTCCTCACAGAAATAATAATAAAAATACATAATGCATCATTGCTACAGGCGTTTTCTAGGGTGGTATGTGACCGCATGAGTATCTGCTGAGTCTGCTGGTATCTGCAAAGACCCAAATGTTATCTTCAGCTTAGGGTTTCATGGATTAGATTTTAAACGGTGTCTGCCCTGGCTGACATCATTGCTTCCTCTTGCATTCAGGTTCTAAGGCAAATACATGTTTATTAACCGTCTCTACTTTCCCTTCTACCCTGGTCATTGGAAATAACATTGGAGAAAGCAGTTTTGGGGCCTGCAGGACTGGTTAGCCTGCCCTGATCTCCATCTAAGTGGTGAAGATTGGGATTCTCATCCCCTTCCCCTCTAAATGCCCCCCCCCCGCATTTCAGAGGGCCAACAAAGCTTGTAAATCTTAGTTCCCAGTTCTTGTCATTGATGTGAGGGATCATGTGATAAGTAAATTTGGCTTCTCGCCTTCTCTCACCGTATAGAGTGGAGGCAGTGGCGGTGGGAGAGAGAAGTAGGGGAACGGTCGAGAATTATTAAAAGGAATGTTTCCCAAGAAGTGATGAAGCCATTTGGAGGGTGCCACACAAAAGAAATAAAGCATGGGGGGGGGGCACAGGGACAGAGCGATAGAGACAGAGACTGACACAGGGATACAAATATGAGCAGCAACTTTGGCATATAGTAACCTGCCCTACTCTCCACATATCCATTTAAAACTTCATGAATTATAAACTACCCGCTTTGGCCTCCGTCATAAATTCAGCTCTTTTAGAGCTTGCAATTAATGCCATGAACCATCAGAGCCCAAGCAAAACAAAATGCCCTCCTTAACTGCAAGAGTTTGCAAACCTTTATCTATTTCGAAGCGTCACCTCTCGAGCTTTGATCCCCGTCTCCAGCGTGCCTTCTTCCTCCCCCTATCTGAGACTTCCCCCATGACCCAATCCCCGCTTGGAGCCTCAATTTGCAGCCTAAGTGGAGAAGGTCACAATAGCAGCTCTATCTGCGGAGGCGCAAAGCCGCCTCTTCGGCAGCCAGTTCGCGGAAGTAAAGAAAGAAGAGGGTGAGGTGATGGGGGTGGGCAAGGAGAAGCGGAAGAATCCCAGGGATCGGGAAATGGGCCTGGGTCTGGGTCTGCCTGGTAACCCTTCTTTGTTGCATTAATGATTCGGCTTGGGGAAGAAATCGGCCTCTCTAGCCCCAAAGCACATATTCTTGGGCTGGGCTCTGGCCATTGTTGCGAAAGAAACACAAAGCAGTTGAAGTCCTCCATCTCCCGCAGCAGGCCGGTGTATGTGTGTGTGGGGGGGGATGAGGGGATGTGGAAATACTAAAAGGGGTGCTGGATAGAAATCCAGAGACTCAACCTAAGGTCCCACGATCTCCCCTAATGAATTGACTAGGCCTTGGGCTTGGGGGGGGGGGCTGCTGCGGATAAGGGGACCCAAGCCAGTGTCTTTGTGTTGGCTGGTTTCTAATAGGTCTCCGCTGTGGGAACCAGACAAAGGGAACGCTGTTTCGAGGGAAGGGGGTTACAGGAAAGGGGATTGGTCCCCAGCCCTAGATCCTGGTCTCTGGGAGGTCCCACAAGTTTTCCCAAGAGGAGAAAACGTCTCTCTGTGTCCCAGTCACTCCCTCCTTCCAATTTCTACACTCTTCTTTCTCGAAGGGATAATAAGTAGGAGGAGAAATATTTCTCTGAGCAGCTTCGAAGATTAGGCTGGAGGGAAGCGGCTGTGGGACTCTGTGGGAGAAATAGGTCCCTGGGAACCCCAGGGGCCCTGGGACTGAAGAAGAAAGTGAGCCAGGCCAGAGGGTTCTTGTTGAGACCATGCAAAGGCAGGGGTGGGTGGTAAAGACTTGTGCTCCCTCGTAGGGGAATCCAACAGCAGTGTGAATAGACACCGGCCTAGTCACCATTTTACAGCCCACTAACGTAGAGGAATGGGAAAGGAATATAAAAAAAGAAAGAAGGGGCAAAGTTGTCACAGCAGTCAAGGGAACCGAGACTATGCAGCTCTATATGCTTAACTACACATTAGATTTGGTGTGGGTATGCAAGTTTTCAGATTGGTGCCAGTTAAGAGGCCTGGGGAAGGGAGGCCAGGCAGCAATGAACTGTTACATATACATTCTAGTGGCTGATTTTCAGACCCTGATCTCATCCAGAGCTATGACAGGGAAAAATCCACCTCTGGTGGAATCATTAAGTCAACCATCTATTTGTACCAATACAAACTTAAGAAGGGAGGGAGGGGGGAAGGGGAAAGGGAAGAGAGAAGGAAGGGGAGAGAGAGAGAGAGAGAGAGAGAGAGAGAGAGAGAGAGAGAGAGAGAGAGAGAGAGAGTGCTGTTTCCTTTCCTCCTAGCCTTGTACCCTATCTGAGGCCCTAGAGGCTACTAACCATGCTGAACAAGATTTTTTGAATTTCTATCAGTAAGGGATATTAAAAGATAGTGATTACCTATACTAGTTTCTCTTGTCTTCTCCTCCCCTCAGTCTGCAGCCTTATGGTCCCTAAGAAGAAGTGTGCTGGGACAGGCAGTTAGTGAGTTCAAGCTCTCCATCTGTTGGGGTTTTTCATAAAAGGTAGGGGTCGGGGGGAGCCACAGATGGAAGTTACCTGCATCATAATATGAACCATTCCTGTGTCTGACATTGATGAGAGAAACATTTTGCCCTCTACTCCTAATTCTATATGTAGCCTAGGCTTGTTTTGTGCAATCAAAGGGCTTATTTTTACTTAACCATGAAAAGGGGGTAGTTGTGAAACCTCCCTGGGCTCTTTATAGGCCAGTAGTTATCTTCAACAGGAAATTATCATTTTTCTTTAAATCATTCTTTTTTAAAACTGCAAGAACAGAATAAAAAGACATTGAAGGTAATGTAACCCAACAGGCTGACAGCACAACCATCTTAGAGAGAACAAGGGAGTTTATGGTGATTGCTCACCATGGATACAGGGATGGCATAGTGATTCAAAGGAGCTTATTCATCCCAAAGACATAGGAGAGACACTAAGGAATTGGAAGTAGGTTTACTCCTCTGAGACTCTGTATTCTTATCATTGGTTCATTTATTAGTGGTCCTTTCTGAGCAAGCCTTAATGAGAAGAAAGTTCAGGGATATAATTCCTTAGTTGGGACTTGGTGGGTAAATGGGTAGAACAAATGGAGAACAAAGGTGGTAGTGATAATAATAGGGCAGCATGGGATAGTGGATAGAAAGTCAGGAAAACCTGAATTCAGGGTCTGCCTTTAATACATAATTGCCCTCCAATTAAATGATCCAGAATAGTTACTTGACCTCTCAGTGTCCCCAGCCAACCTCTAAGTCTATATGAGTAGCTGAATTGGTTGAGGGAATTTTCTCCCTGGGAATGACCTCTACACCATGACATCACAGGGCCAGACCACTTATAACAACTAAAAAAAAACCCAGCTCAGATTTATATATAATTTTCTTTCCAAAACCCTCTGAATCAGGTAGGTAACGAATTATTGTCCATTTTGCAGATGAGGAAATTGATGCTTAGAGAAGTTAAGTCACACAAGTAATTATGAACAGATATAAGAATTTTAAGCT